TTTCGGTTTTCGTCTGTACCTTTGCCTAAATTATTCGCGTCAGAGTGTAGGGATCCAGATATTTTGGCATGTCTCTTACACAGGCTTGTCCTGGGCGGGGAGAATTTTGCTGGGTATCTTTCAGCCGTTTTTGACTCACTGCTCGAGGGAGCCCGCACCTGGCCCGGAGGTGCTGCGGCTGCCCCCTGCTGGCTGCGAGGTGCCATGACGTCTGCAAAGGCAACTATTGGCTCCTGCGGCCTTTTCCTTACTTCCGCCTTCCCTGTTCCCGCCACCACCCCCCACTCCATTCTAATATTTTCTAGTGTTTGCCGTCTGAGAGGACCAGCATACAGGAAAAGGAATTTTTACACCATTGTATCCTGGGTGACTGCAGATGCTGTTCATACTTAAAGATGCACACTTGCATTGTGTCCCATCTGTGGGTGGGTCTCTGATAGTTGGAAAGCATTCTGCGGTGCACATGCAGGGGAGGGGACTCTGAAAGCCAGGTATGTGAGCAAAGCACCCTTCAGGTGATGGGGCTATTTTTATCTTACGGAGACAGTGAGAGCCATGTGTACCTGGTTATACGTCAGGTATCCTCAGTGGTCAGGAACAGAGCCAAACCCCATCTGATGGGTGGGAGGTTGGGGGGATCTGGAGCAGGAACAGCAGATATCCAGATATCCTGAAGCCTAGTCTCTTTCTTCTTCAGGAAGCCTCTTTCTTAAATCTGGATGCTCTTGATTTCGAAAGTACTGACCAGCTTTCTCAATCCCCAGCGGGTTACAAGCCCGTTAGGGGGCCTGACCTCTGCCCATAAGGAGCCACAGGTAGACTGGGGCCAGTAAGAAGTGACATGTGGGCAAGAGGAAGGAGACAGGAAAACTATAGAAATCAGCTCAAGAAGTTAAAAAGACGATCAGGTCACCGAGTGGAGGGGCAAAAACCCCATATCACCCAGAGGTCCTTGAGGGTGTCACTGCATGTCTGTGAACCCCGGTTGATCAGAGTTCTTGCTGAAGGACCAGAGAAATCATGAAGCAGAGCTATTTTTTTGATCCATGCAAAAACACAAACTTTCACAAAAAACATTTGGACAAAACTATAATCTTCTGTCTCTCCAACATATCCTTACTTCCACACTTTTAAGCCCTTGATTGATCAGTTGATCTCGTTTTGATGTTTGTGGCTGGTGTGAGGTAGGGATTCTGTTACATGTTTTCCTTATAGGAGAAACTATAGCCCTAACACCATGTATTAGTAGTCCATTAAGAAAAATCTCCTGTGTTTCTTATTTACTGATCACACAGAATACTTCTGGTGCCAGTTGGATGGGTGTTTTTAACCACACCAAGCAATTCTCCAATTTTCTCCGGACACCAACTGGTATCCTACAATCCTGTTCAATTCTGACAGTACCTGGAGTGAGTGCAGACCCCTACATGTTAAGGGCTCACCCACCAAGACTGCCCCCAGGTTCCAGTTTCAAGTAGTGAGTGGGTCCCCAGGTTACCCACAACTTCTGTCCGAGTTGGCTTCGAATCAGAGGTTCCCATGACCCTCTCCTTGGGTTCAATAGTTTGGTAAAGCAGCTCAATAGAGCCCAGGAAAACAGTTTACTTACTACCGCTGATTTATTTTATTACCGCTGATTTATTTATTAAAGGATACAAATGAATAGCCAGATGCAGAGATACATGGGGGGAGGTCTGGAAGTGTCCTGAGCACAAAAGCTTTCATCCTGGACTTGGGGTGCACCACCCTTCCGACACATGGATATGTTTACCAACCTGGAAGCTCTCTAAACCCATACTTTTCGGATTTTTGCGGAGGCTTCATCACATAGCTGTGACCAGCTATTAACTCAATTTACATCCCCTCTCCTCTCACCAGAGAATGGGGGACAGGGCTAAAAGTTCCAAGCTTAGCATAGAGCCCACCAAGAGCCACTTCATTAGAACAAAAGACACTTGTATCACCCAGGAAATTCCAACAGATTTAGGAGCTCTGTATCAGACATTCCTATCACTCAGGAAATTATAAGGGTTTTAGGAGCTGTGTATCAGGAACCAGGTCAGAGACCAAACATTACCAGAAACCAGGGGCAGAGACATACATATATATATATATCTCACATCCATCTTCTACACACACCATCTGCAATGTTCCTTCTCATTTTAATTACATTTCCGTATATGCTTGGTCTATTTCTGGGCTCTCTGTTCTGTCCCATTGGCCCATTTGTCTTTCCCTGTTCCAGTACCACACTCACCATAGCTTTATAGTTTGTGTAGGTAATGGTAGTGCAGATTCTCCCACCTCATTCTACTCTAGGAGTGGCTTTGTCCTTCCGCATAAGCTTTAGAATCAGCTTCTCAGGTTCCTGGTAGGGGCAGGGGGAAGCTTCCTAGTTAGGAATCTTAATGGAATTGCATTAATTTTATAGGACAGTTTAGAAAATGGACATTTCTATGATCTCTTTGAATATTGTTTCATCCTCATTCTTCCTGTTGTATCTTCTGGAGATTCTGACTTAAAACTTCAGACCCTTTAAATGTCAGTTATTATGTTTTTCATTTCTAGAAGTCCCATATGGTTCTTTTAACCTCTGCTTGGTCATTCTCTATAATCTCTTTTTCCCTGTTCATATCGTTAAGACTTGCTTATTTCTTTTTCTTTTTTTTAAGATTTTATTTATTTATTTGACAGAGAGAGAGAAAGAGAGACAGCGAAAGAGGGAACACAAGTGGGGCGGGGGTGGGAGTGGAAGAGGGAAAAGCAGGCTTCCCATCGATCAGGGAGCCCGATGCAGGACTCGATCCCGGAACCCTGGGATCATGACCTGAGGTGAAGGCAGATGCTTAATGACTGAGCCACCCAGGCACCCCAGGACTCACTTATTTCTTAAACTTGGTATTTCATAATCTGGTCCGATAAATCCCCTATCTGAAATCTTTGTCCGTCTGATCCTTCCGTCTGCTGTTTTTGCTGGCTCTGGCTCCTATTGCCTTGTTTCCTTGTATGTTGTGATTTAAAAAAAAAAAAAGAAGGAAAAACCAAAAACTATGACCTTATCCTTTATTTTCCTTGGAACTTTATCCTGGGAATTCTTTGAGGCCTGGTTTAAAGTTGTTTTCCCACAAAGAGGATTTGCATTTCTTTCTGCTAACCTGGCAGCTCTTCAAATTAGATGTCTGGCTTTGAGAGTTTTCTGGCCTGCTCACGCAGACCTGCAGGAGGGCTGTCTGTGGATTCAGTCGGAGCTGAGGTGGAATCCTCACGCTGTCACTTACTGTGTGACCTCAGGCAAGTCATTTGATCTCTCTGCCTGTCCCAGCATCTGTGAAAAAGCTATAAACACCTAGTGCCTTAGGCTGTTGCAAAGCTGAAGTAGGGGAGGTTGGGTCATATACAGAAATACAGGGCTCGCTGGGGGTTCTTCCACACGGTGGGTAGGCGGTGGGTGTCGCTGTGTTCCCCTGAGGAGCCTCCTCTCCTGCCCCAGCTGGACCAGGCGGCTGGTTGGCAGAGCCCAGCTTGGGTCCGGCTCCTTGCCCGGAGGATCGGAGTCTGAGTGGGAGCCACCGGCTTTAAACCTTCCTCCTGTGGATTATTCTGCCTTCGGCTCTGAGAGGTCTGAGCCTCCTGGAGCCTTTGAGAGATGCTTCTGCCTTCAGTCTCCACTTGTCTTGGAAGTCTCTTGGGGCCAGGTAACAAGAAAAATGACATGTAACAGAATTGTTTTCCGCTTCAGATGCTGCAGGGATGTTTTGGTCGGTTGGTTATGGTTTTTTTCAAAAAACGTGTTCTGTAACTACATGGTAGGTACAAAAATAATCATTGTTCATCATGGGAATGTACATTGACATAAGTGTAAAATAAAGTTGTATATTGGCATGAAAAAAATGTGAAGTCCTTTCTGTAACAAGGACTAAAAAAAATAAATAAATGTAACAGTATCAGCTCCACTGGGGCACCTGGGTGGTTCAGTCAGTGAGGCATCGAACCCATGATTCTGGCCTAGGTCCTCATCTCAGGATCCTGAGAGGAGCCCTGCTTTGGGCTTCGAGCTCAGCAGGGTGTCTGCCTGGGAGTCTCTCTCCCTCTTTCTCCCTCAACCCCCCACCCCTCCTCAGGCACGCACACTCACTCTCTGACCTCTCTCTCTCAAATAAAAGTCTGGTTTTTTTTTTAAAGATTTTTTTATTTTATTTATTTATTTATTTGACAGACACAGCAAGAGAGGAAACACAGGCAGGGGGAGTGGGAGAGGGAGAAGCAGGCTTCCCGCTGAGCAGGGAGCCCGATGTGGGGCTCCAACCCAGGCCGCTGGGATCATGACCTGAGCTAAAGGCAGACGCTTAACCAACTGAGCCACCCAGGCGCCCCCAAATAAATAAGTCTTTTAAAAAAACGTGATATGAACTCAACTATATTGAGAGAAATGGGGAAAAGGAAATATGTTCAGGTGTCAGCAGTGATTATTTCTGAATAGTGGGATTCTGGAGTCATTTCTTCCCCAGTGGCAGCATGGCACAGACAGCAGTGAGAGGGTGGCCTCAGCACTCAAAGTCTTGTGTGAAATCTGTACTCGTGTGGCCTCAGGCACATGACAGGCTCTCATGGTCACAGCCGGCCCATCTGCCGGGCTTTGTGGACAAGATGAGCAACGGGTTTGAAGTGCCCGGCCCGCCCCACCAACGGCCGCCCTTATTCTCCCACATGGACATTCTTGCCGGGTCTTTAAGGATACGGAGCGTGTACTCCTTTATAATTAAAGAAGGAGGCCATACATACTCTGCTGACAAAAACTGTTTATGTCTCCCGGTTGGGTGTATGGAGTTTCCAGACTATCCCCTGATGCTGCCGGAAAGGGTCTTGAGGCCCGAAGAATACTTGGGAGCCACTGCTGGGGAGGTGAGGGGTGGGAGGGTGCTGGCAGGGCAGGGGCGGGAGAGACTGCAGGTGCAGCCTGGCCTCAGAGGTGCTCAGCCTGTCCCTTCCGTCCCGCGCAGGGCGCAACGAGCCCCTGAAGAAGGAGCGGCTGAAGTGGAAGAGCGACTACCCCATGACCGACGGGCAGCTGCGGAGCAAACGGGATGAGTTCTGGGACACGGCACCCGCCTTCGAGGGCCGCAAGGAGATCTGGGATGCCCTCAAGGCCGCCGCCTATGCAGCCGAGGCCAACGACCATGAGTTGGCCCAGGCCATCCTGGACGGAGCCAGCATCACCCTGCCTCACGGTGAGCGGGCGGGGCCGGGCTTTGTCCCCACCAGGCTTGGGACCGCCAGGCCGCTTTGGGTGGAAGGGAGCCGGCAGCCAGCCCCACACTGGGAGTTTTCAATCCAAGCTGCTCGGTGGCCCAGGTGGCCCTTTGCTTGCTAATTCATGCAACCCTCACTGAGTATCTGCCAGGAGCGGGGACACAAACCAAAGGGAGACGCAGTCCCCGCTTGTCTACTGAAGGCATAGAAAGGCACCAGCCAACCTCAAAGCAGCATGAGGAGAGCAAGCTAGAGTTGCCCGGGGTACTCTGGGATCACAGAGCATCTGAGAACCCTTCTGTTGAGGGTTACTATGGGCTGGGCACTGAGCTAGAAGCTTCTGCTCTAGTATCTCATTTAAGTTTATAACAGACTTATGCAGTAAAGTATGTGAAGCGGAGGGTCACGGTGGAACTGTAGAGTCACAGACCTGGGTTTTAACAAATGTCTCTGCTTTTGGTAGTGCGCCCCTGACAGGGAGCTTCTCGATTTTAGTCTCAGGAACTTGCAGCTGTAAAGCGGAGATATGCACCTCACAGGATGGTTGTTAGGACTCAGCAAGATATGCAGAACCACCTTTAGTCCAGTCCTGGAACTTAGTAGGTGCTCAGGACACAACAAATATATTACTGTGTGCAATACATAGTACAGGAAGTCCCCTGGGGCCCACCAGAGTATAAGCCATGGAGAGTAGGGCCCATGCCTTCTCACTCACCCTGGTAACCCCAGCACCCAGCATGTAGCTCAGGAGAGTTGTCGAATGAAAAAATAGAAAGTTACATAATTCACCAGCATTGAACAGTACCTGGCAGTACCTGGCAGAGCCAGTACCTGGCAGAGCCAAGATGCCGGCCCCATGTGTTCCTGATTCCACCTTGAACTCCTCCCAGCTGTCTGTCCCAGAGAGACCTGACTGTAGGTTGGTTTCGGGGACTGTGGGATGGCCATAACAGGTGTATTGGTTTGCTCAGGCTGCTCTAACAAAATACCACAGATAGGGTACCTTATTACCCAACTGAGATTTCTTTCTCGTAGTTCTGGAGGCCGGGAAGCCCGAGACCTAGGTGCCAGCTGATTTGGTTTTCGGTGAGGGCTATCTTCGTGGCTTATCCGTGGCCGCCTACTTCCTACGTCCTCCCATACGTACTGGGAAAGCAAGCCCCAATGTGTCTTAGAAAGACACTAATCCTGTTGGATTGGTGCCCCACCCAAATAACCTCCTTTACCCGTCCTGACTCGCATATGCGCCCGTCTCTTCAAATGGCCAAGACAGAAACTGTGGGGCTCTCCGAGCAGACCCTGACCGCCCCACTTCTCGCGCAGGCACCCTCTGTGAATGCTATGACGAGCTGGGCAATCGCTACCAGCTGCCCATCTACTGCCTGTCGCCACCCGTGAACCTGCTGCTGGAGCACACTGAGGAGGAGAGCCTGGAGCCGCCCGAGCCCACGCCCGGGGTGCGCCGCGAGTTCCCGCTGAAGGTGCGCCTCTCCACGGGCAAGGACGTGAGGCTCAACGCCAGCCTGCCCGACACGGTGGGGCAGCTGAAGAGGCAGCTGCACAGCCTGGAGGGCATCGAGCCATCCTGGCAGCGGTGGTTCTTCTCCGGGAAGCTGCTCACAGACCGCACGCGGCTCCAGGAAACCAAGATCCAGAAAGATTTTGTCATCCAGGTCATCATCAACCAGCCCCCGCCGCCCCAGGACTGAGGAGCCCGAGGACCCCTGGGAAGAGAGGCCGTGGAGGCCTCTGCGGGGCTAAGAGGCCTCCCGGCGGAGCGCTGGGTCCCCCCCACCCTGCTGCTGCCTCCGAGGGCTGTCACTTTCTTCAGGGGCGCTGCCTGCCATGTGGCTGCTGGGCAAGCCATGAAGGGACCCTGCCTCCCGGGGGGCCCGGGAGCCACGAGGGCCCCACACCCAGGAAGCAGTGCTGCCATATACAGGCTTTGCCAGCCTTGTTGGAGAAAAGGCAGACGGGGGCACTCCACCCTGCCTCTCTCCCGCAGCAGGTTCAAGCCACGAGGGGCCAGCCCGGAGGCCCCTAGAGCCCAGATCTGTTGTCTGGTGCTGCCGGCTGTGCTCACTCCGGTTTTCTGCTCAGGGTCTGAAGCAGCTGCTGTCCCCTTCCCCTGCCCCTACTCCCTGACTCTGCCCTGGGCCCAGTGCCAGTCCTCTGGAGGGGAGGGGATGGCTTGTGAGCCCCAGGGGCAGGGAGCCTGAGGCCGGCCTCTGCCTCTCCCTGCCCCGCAGCACAATTGGCAGAGGTGGAGGGGGCGGGTGGCCAGATGGCTGTGCTATTGTGGCAGGGGTCTACATGGGGCCATCTCCTGGCTGTAACCCAAGCGGTGGGGGGTCTGCAGCCCGGCCATGGCCCACAACAGGTCCCTGTGTACAGACATATCTGCATATTTATCAATAAAGCCTTTTGCTCCTACCTTCTCTCTTGCCTAGCTTTGACTTTGGGCTCCCTGGCTGCTCTGTGGAGCCCCAGAACCAGTTCTGGTGTGGGAGTGGGTCGCAGCCGAGAGGAGAGAGCCTTGAATTCCTAGTGTTCCAGGCCCTGTGTTCTCATAGGTTCTCAGGAAAAACACTTAATCTCTGAGCCCACTTGGTTTTCCTTAATGTGGAGACAATGCCACTTGCCCTGCCTCTTCCTCAGTTGCCGGGAGGATTAAATGGGGTAACAGACGTGAGCAAGCTTTGAAAGCAGAGGCAATATATCAGGAAGGTGGTATTAGTAACCTGCCGGGTCTGCTCCTGGAAGCGGGAGGGTCCTGCCCGGGCCCTCAGGACTGATGTATGCACCCCAATCCTGGAGATGTCCCCCTGCACCCTCAGGGATGTGAAAGCAAAATCTCAGACACATTTAGATTGCAAGCATGTGTCCCTTAGCAGCGAGGGGACCAGAGAGGAAAAGGAGCCAGTGCCTATCCTTCCTGCGGGGAAAGTGTGCACATCATCCGAAGGGGACCTCTTTTAGCTAAGGGCGAGCTGCATGAGCAGTACAGAATTGCCAAACTGTGGCGTCTGTGTGCACGATGGCCCAGGGCTCACTCCCAGAGTTCTAGGTATGGAGCAAATTCGGGTCTGCTTTTGCTCCATTGAGAGTATTTTCCTTCTCAGTGAGCATGGCCAGACCCCGGTCAGGGTGGCCTGACAAGGAAGGATGATCAGAAGGGGCTGGACGTCACCAAGGCTCGGGATTGCACTCTGGTCCTTTTAAGGTGGCTTCCTGACACCCTTCCTGAAGCAAGACCTTTTAAGTTTTGCAGAGGCCTGGTGAGACAGACAGAGGGTCAAGGTTTTGTCAGAGGCTAATGGACGGGCAGGCACATACAGCGACACCTCACTAGGGGGCGCTGTGGGACTCCGGAGACACAAAGGCCGGCCTGAGCTGTGAGTGAAGAGGGAGGCACCTGCTCTTACTCTTGCCCACCACCTTGACACTCCAGTCCCGACATAGCAGAGTCCACAGAGCACGCAGAGTCTGTTCACAGGACAGCTGGGGACACAGGCCTCCATTGGGTCCTCACAGTTGTCTTTCAGTTCCCCTCACTGACAATAGTGGGCAGTTGCCAGGCGTCCAGCAGGTGGCACTGCCATCAGGTTTAGGGGCAGCCAGTGGGTCTTTGTGCAGCCCAGCTGCCACCGCTAAGGCCCAGCCCGACCCAAGCATTCAGGACAGAGGCTAGGTGGGCTCCTTCCTGCAGCCCTGCTCTTTTGGGGCGCTGGGCCCTTCAGCTCCAACAGGTCGGGGGTGGGTGGGGCAAACTGCCCCTGCTTCCCTCGGCTCCCCGGGGCTGCCCGGGGTGAAGGTGACAGGTGGGGGAGGCAGGTGGAGAATTGGGCCAGTGAGCTCATGGCAAAGGCGCCCAGCAGGGTGGGGGTGGGGGGGTGCCCTGGCTTATAAAGCCCCCGAGGCCCTGGGGCCTGCAGAGGCTGGCAATAGACGGCAACATGGAGGGCTCCGAGGCAGTGCAGAGGGCCACGGCGCTTATCGAGGAGCGGCTGGCGCAGGAGGAAGAGAATGAGGTACAGGCATGGGTGTGGGGACCCAAGGGGATTCTAAGGAGATCCAGCTCTACTGTCAAGGGAGGTAAGAGCCTGGCTGCCGCATCTGTGGTAGGAAGGAGGGCAGATGTCCCCAGGGGCCCGATGGCTCCATTCCAGCCCCAGGGTGCTCCTGGTGGAGGGCTTGCTGCCAGTGGGAGACTGAGGCTTCAACCCCCAAGAACTGAGAGACGGGTGGGTGAGCCAAGCTGGGCTCCTGATATCCTGCCACCCACCTGGACCTCGAGGAGGTGAGCCAGGCTGCACTAGAGCAGGACAGCTGGGGTGCTGCCTGAGAATAGGGGAGGCTGGGGCCCTGAGAGCTCCCAGCTGCTGGGCGGGAGGCTGAGACAGGAGAAACTCCTGCATTTGGTCCCTGAAGAATAGAGACTGGGAGCAGAGCAAGGAAGCAGTGCTGGGAAAGGAAGCATGGGTTTTCCCAGGACGACCAGCTTCACTCGGGGAGGCCGCTGGAGCACGAGGCTCTGGGCAATTGGCATTTTCTCTGGGAAAAAGGAGTGGGGAGAGGGGACGAAGGTGCAGCCATGTCTACTCTTCATTCTGTTTAAACTACTATTTGACTTAGAGTCTGCTCTGCCAAGTGCCAGGGGCTGTGAGGAGTAAGAGGCTCAGTAGGGCCAGCCCCTGCCTCCTCCTTACCAGCCCTACAGTCATTCTAGCCAGCATCTGTCAGGGACATAGTCCACAGAGAAACAGGCAGAGTGAGGCAATGGTGAAATAGAGCTATTAAGTCAGCAGGAAAGGGGAACAAAAGGTAGGTGAGTCACTCTGTGGGTGCTAAAGGACCCCTGGGAACAAGATGGCGTTTGAGTGGGACCTTCAAGGCTGGTGAGTGGAGATCAGAGAGGGAGGGAATTCCAGGCTAAGGAAAAGACAGGCACTAAAAAGTTTAGGTGAGTGATGGTGGGACTGTTGTGTGAAAGTCTGGTAGGGCCTAAGGCTGGGTACAAACCCTCGAGGGCCATGGGAAAGATATTTATTCTTTGGGCAATGGGGAGCCACTAAGTGTTGCTGAGTGAGGGAGAGTGGTGCCATCTGACCTATTTTAGAAAGACAGCTCTGACAGCCTGAGAAGGACACATTGGCGAAAAACTGGCCCTAACAGGAATGGGAGGAAGAAGATAAGTCAGTTTGGAAGTAGGCTCTGTTCACTTCAGTTTGGAAGTAGGCTCTGTTCACCAAAAGAGTGGCTGAATAGGGGTGAGGAAGAGGGAAGGACCAGGACTCTGGTGGAAGAAGAGATGTAAACCAGAGGCAGAGGGTAGGGGGACAGGCTTGTGGGGGAAGAGTTTGGGCTGAGCCCAATGAGTCCAGGCTGGGGCATCCTTGGATCTTCAGGAATGCCACTTCTCCCCTGGGGCCAGGTAGGTGAGTCACACCGCTGTACCATTTCTGGAGTGCTGGCGTTGGACACAGAGACCTTCAGCAGGGGGACACGGAGCTGTCCTCATCCATTCATTCACCCAACAAATATAGCAGCACGGCTGTCAGGACACCGGGTGCCCACAGAGCCACCCTTCCCACCAATGCCTGCCATGTGCCAGGCACTGTGCTAAGCTCTGTACAGGCATACTTTCTTTCTTTCTTTTTTTTTTTTTTTAAGATTTTATTTATTTGACAGAGATCACAAGCAGGCAGAGAGGCAGGCAGAGAGAGAGAGAGAGAGAGGAGGAAGCAGGCTCCCTGTTGAACAGAGAGCCTGGATGCGGGGCTCCATCCCAGGACCCTGGGATCATGACCTGAGCTAAAGGCAGAGGCTTTAATCCACTGAGCCACCCAGGCACCCCCAGGCATACTTTCATTTTATCTGTACAATGATCTACGAGTAAGGTGGGCATTTGTTTCATTGTGTTTCACCCACTAGCACCCGGTTCAATAAACACTGAGTACTGACTGTGTGTCAGCCCCCAAAGACAAATCTGAAGTGAAGGACTAGAGAGTCTGGGTAAGGCCTGTGTGAGCATGAGAGTCTCTAGTTGTTCCCACCAAGTCCCAGCCCAGCAAAATTCTCAGAGGGGAGCCTCTGTCCAGCCTGCTCCCCCTTCTTGGTGTGGGAGGCGAAGGAGAATCCCAAAGGCCAGGGCTTGGGCTCTGTTGTGGGAGCATACTAGGTCAGGTCATCACTGAGGACTTAGGGGTGGGCAAAGATGCTGAGCGCCCCCCGTCGTGATCCATTCACTCACTCACTCATTTATTCTCCAACATTCACTGAGCACCTGCTGTATGCTAGACCCCATCATAGGTGCTTGGGTTACCAAGCTAATGGCAACCCAAGCCTACCCTTGGGATGCTCCATGAGGAACCCAGCCAGGGTCCCCCAGGCTGCAGCCCAAGGTCATCTCTTGTTCCTGGAAGAAGATGCAGTGTTTCAGGTGATGCCAATACTAGGGATACCTCAAACCATGTAAGCCCAACACAGAAGGGAACAGCCAGTGGGCACCAGGACCTCCCGAATGAAGACCGGGGAAATCAGCCCTCAAAACAGCCCTAGAGGAGTATCCCACCAGAGCTCAGTGGAAAAGGCACAAGGCAGCTGAGAGCTCTGTGAGGGTGGGCCATTCCTCCCAGCCGCCATCCGGACTCTGTGTCCTCTACCCCGGGGTGAAGTTTCCCGGCACACAGAGATGGGTGTCAGCCTGTCACAAAAAGTGGCTTCCTTTAAAACAGAGGAGGGGGTCCTGAGAAAGCGGTCCAGGCAAGTCAAAACTACAAAGGGGGACTTGGAAGGAGTTTCACCCATCCAATTACAATGAGGATAAGGTGAATGCTGAGAGTCCCTTCAAACTGAAGCCTAGGTCGCCGTGGCTCTTGTCCCTCAGCTTCCCTGACAACAAGTTTCCAGCTCCAGGATCTCATGGAGCAGTAAAATCTGAGGGAAAAAAGTTGGTATCTGAGAGTTGCCACATTTTTGTATTGACACATGAATCTATTTAAAAAATAACTATCAATTCTTACCACAATCATTTCATCTATGTGAATCTTTAATGGCAACAAAGAAATCACCACCACCACCACCACCATCATCATCATCATCATCATCTCAGTGCTTTGAAAAGTGAATATATTTAATTTCACGAAAACTCATTCCAGTAGCCCTTAAACTTGTCTTGCTGAGGACACATGACCACCAGTGGACAGGTGTTTGAGCTGAGGTTGGGGTAGGGTTGAGCTGGAGAACTATGGGAGCTGGCTCTCCAGGACCAGTCGGGAGTGGGGCTCTGAAGTGCTCTGATGTCACACAGTAGGAAGTCCTTGGGGTTTCCTTGGAGTGGGTTGGGGGAGAGGCTACCTGCCTCCCTGAGTACTATGGGCAGGTGCTGGAGAACATCCTCTCCCTGGCTCACCAGAAACTCCGAGGAACCA